AAAACTTGTATGCAGATATTTATAGTGGATTTATTCCATAATCACTGTGTGGTGGTTAAGTTTGTGTGTCAACTTGGCTGGGCCTGGTTGAGTGGCTGGGCAGCTAGTAGTAGTTATTCCCCATGATGAGACTGGTAATCAACTCCTTGGTGTAATCTATTGGAGCAGCTGAGAAGCTGCTTTGGGTATGTGGTCTGCTTACCATACATAAGAAATAGCTTTGGGAATGCTCTCTAGCTCATGGCATGCTTGAACCCTGTATGTAGCCGTGTGGTTGTTCAGCAGCCTGCCATGCTCTGCCAACCTTGGGACTTTCAGTGGACTTGAATCAATGGCCTGCCATGTGGTTTGTAACATCAGGACTGTGTCTCTTTACTTGGGCTTGTCAGCCTCAGCAGCCAGCAGCTATCTGGGTGAAGAAAAGCCTCTAGCTTCAGTGGACCAGAAGCAGGAGACAGAGCTGAAGCCCAAGATTGAGGGGCTTTCACCCAGCCCCCACAGCCTGGCACTTTGAACTCAGATTTAAAGCCTCAAAACTGTTAGAAAATAAACTCCTGTTCGTTCAAGCATCCCATTTGTGGTATATTCTTGTCAGAGCAGCATTAGGTAACCAGAACACAATGAATACTGAAAACAATTCAAATGTCCTTCAACTGGTGAATGAATAAACTAGCTGAGGCATCACTATATGTTATTCATTAATAAAGCAGAATGAGTCATTAATACATGTAACAACAAAAATGAATCTCAAAAGCATTATGTGAAAAGAAAGAAGCCAGCCTCAAAGGTTACATAATGTATTATTCTACAGACACTCACATAAAATTCTGCAAAAAGCAAACTACAGGGATAGAACAGATCAGCGACCATCTGAGGTAGAGAAGGAGAGAAGGCTGATCACAAATAAGCAGCACAATGGAATTTTGGTGAGTGATGGTAATGTTCTAGATCTTCAAAACTCACAGAACCATATACCAAAAAAAGTGAATTTTAATTATATAAATTTTTAAAATATACATTTTAAATTCACAAAGAAAAATGTACTTTCACATACATCTCCTTTTATTCTCAACCCTATAACAAAGAGTAAGTAGATACTATTACTGTCATTTTTATAAGTGGCAAAAGTGAAGCATACAGTAAATAAATGAACATACAGACTACATGTGACATAGACCCACACTGTTGTCCAGACACACTGATTCTATTTCAAATGCTTCTTCTCTTTATTTTTCCATGTTCCACTAAATTTTATGTGCTACACTGACCCTGAAAACAAATGGAATGCAAAGGAGCAAGGGGCGCAAAGAAGAATAAAACAAGACAGTAATATGTGTGCTATTTAGAATTAACTGTTGTCCTGAAGGAATTCAAAAATAGTCCATATTTGAAGAAGTCTGAAAAGTGATACAAGTCTATATAGGTCTTTATCTACATAGGCAGCAAATTACTTGACATTAAAGAATTACCTGATCATTTCTTCCATAAAAGCCTTTCCATTTCTTTTGCTAAGAAAAGCAAAAGTAACATAAAATATCACAGGTAACCTTGTAACAGTTGCTACAATTAAATTACTACCTTGTTTTCAGAACTACACTGAGAAAGAGAATCATGGAGACTACAAGTCAACAGATTTTATAACTTTAAATAAACATTTAGAGATATTCCCAGAAGATACTACCTAAGGGGAAAATTTTAAAATGCTTTTCAAGTTCAGAATCAAAGAAAACAAACCAAAAGAACATACCTTAAGTACAATAGCACATAGGAAAATTAAGCTATTTCTTTAGTAAAAAAATTTAAAATTGCACCTGTTCCAAAAATAGTATACCTCACCTAGAAACAGTGGCGTGGTTTCCTCTAAAGTAGTTGTATTAGGATCTTCCCCAGCTTCTAAAAGAATCTGGATGATCTTCCAGTGTCCTTGACTTGCAGCGAGATGTAATGCACAGAAGCCCTCAAAAGTCTTTGTCTTAATGTAGTTTTCAGATGAGTCTACAGAAGAATAACAAATCATCAACTAGAAGATTATCACTTCCACTTCTTAGGCTGAAAAGGCAAATATTCAAAGAGGAATTTTTCTTTTTAACTTTTTATTGTGATCTGAGTGAAATTTTACAAAGCAAATTCATTTTATATTCAACAGTTCACACACAATTTGTTCTGTGACACTCGTTACATTCCCCACAGTGTAACATCTTACCTCCCATTCTCTATCTGTGCTTACCCTTTCTCTTTATCATTCTTGCCTATGCATTCTTCCCTTCCTACCTTTTGCCCTGTGCAAATGCTGCCCTTCTTATCTCCCTTGGTTGAGCGTTCTAAGGACTGTATCTTCCTGGTGTAGGTGTTCAGCTGGTAGACCCGTCTATTGTTTGGCTGAGAGTTAAGCCTTGGGAGTGAGTTCAATTCCAGGCCAGAAGGGTGACTCAGGGACATACTCTTGGGGGTTTCATCAGTCCAGTCTCAATCAGACCAGTAAGCCTAGTCTTTTTTTATGATTTTGAGTTTTGTTCCTATTTTTCTCCCACTCTATCCAGGATCTCTCCACTACTCATCTATCAGTTAGTCATACTATGGTGGTTTTCATGTTGCTTTGAGGCTAGAGGCTATGCCACCGGTATTTCACATACCAGCAGGGTCACCCATAGTGGAAATATTTCAGCAGAGCTTCCTGACTAAGACATACTCAGAACGCAGAAGGGGCCATCCACTTCTCAAAGAACTGGGAAATGAAAACTTTATGAATAGCAGTGAAACACTGTCTGATGTATTACTGGAAAACTTTATGAATAGCCCTAAAATATTGTCCAATATAGTGCTGGAAGATGAGCCTCTCAGGTTGGAAAGCACTCAAAACGAGACTGAGAAAAAGCTGCCTCCTCAAAGTAGAGTTGACCTTAATGATGTGGATGAAGTATAGCTTTCGGGACCTCTGTTTGCTGACGTGGCACAACTCAAAATGGAAAGAAATGCTGCAAATAGCCATTAACAATCACAACATAGAGTGTATGAAGTATGAATCTATGAAAATTAGAGTTGTCAAAAATGAAATGGAACACATAAAGATTGTTATCATAGGCATTAATGAGCTGAAGTGGAATTGTTTTGTCCATTTTGAACAAGACAATCATATGATATACTATGCCGAGAATAACAAATTGAAGAGGAGTGGCATGTCATTCATCATCACAAAGGATGTTTCAAGATCTGTCCTGAGGTACAATGCTGTCAGTAATAAGATAATATCCATGTGCCCACAAGGAAGATGGGTTAATAATACTATCATTTAAATTTACACACCAACCACCTAAGCCAAAGATGAGGATACTGAAAATTTTTACCAACTCCTGCAGTCTGAAATTGACCAAACATGCAATCAAGATGTGTTGATTAGCAATGGTGATTGGAATGCAAAAGTTGGAAACAGAGAAGAGTAATGAATAGTTGGAAAATATGGCCTTGGTGATAGAAATGATGCCAGAGAACACATGATAGAATTTTGCAAGACCAACAACTTATTCAATGCAAATACTTTTTTTCAACAAAATAAATGGTGGCTATACACATGGACTTCACCAGATGGAGTGCACAGGAATCAGATCAACTACATCTGTGGAAAGAGGTGAAAACAAGGCCAGGAGCTGACTGTGGACAGACCATCAACTACTCTTATGCAAGTTCAAGTTGAAGCTGAAGACAATTAAAACAAGTCCATGAGAGCCAAAATATGATCTTGATTACATCCTACCTGACTACAGAAACCATTTAAAGAATAGATTTGATGCAATGAACACCAGTGACCGAAAACCAGATGAATCGTGGGATGACATCAAGAACATCATACATGAAGAAAGCAAAAGGTCATTGCAGTGTAGTAAATTACTTAGTGTGGCTTTTCTACCCATAAGTCTTTGTAAACTCCAAGGTGGGATTTTCTATGAGCAACTGAGGAACTATCCACCTGGGTTATTTCTGTTGGGCGTGGCACAATACAATGTTCTGGGAAGTTCCCACTCTCTCTCACGTGCTTAG